CACGCATATATATATATATATATATATATATATGAAATTCTTTCATTGTTTTGATATCTGGAATTCACTCTCTAAAAATATCTCACATTTTTATAGATAATTTGTATAAAAATATTTATAAATATATAAACATAAACATATATACATATTTATATTTATATATTTATATTTTTTTAATTTAAAAAATTTTTATTAAAAAATTTTATATTTCTCTAAAGGTTTATAAATAAAAATTCGCATTATTCTATAATTTTATTGCAATAAAAATTTGAGTATTTCAAGTACATTAATAATATACAGTTCATACATACAAATGGAAGATTAATTCTTCCTTTTTTAAATTATTTCTCTATTCTCATTTTAATTCTTCTGTTTCTAATTATATTTTCTTGTGTATAATTTTCATTTTATCCTATTCTTAATCAATGTATTTCAAATTTTAAATTAATCAAATATATTTTTCTTAATGCATAAATTTTTTTCCAACTATATATTCTTACTATACTTTATTGTATGTTCATTTGATGATATTATTTTCTTTTCAACTTATAGTTCGTTTTTTTTTTTTTTGTATATTAACATTCTTTTTGTTAAGTTTATTTTTAATCCCATTCTCCAATATACATTGCTCTAGGTGTAGGAGGAATTACACCTCTGGTTGGTATAGGAAATCTTCCATATATATGATTATATGGTGACTCATTTCTACTATCTGAATCTGCAACAAAACAATAAATTTATTATTCATTTTTTAAAAACAGAAATTAGATAATAGTATGAATTTTTGCAAAATATGTTATAATACCAAGTCCACTTTCGAAACTTCGTGCGTGATACATAATTGGTGGTCTATTTCCTAAATGGCCGTAAATTTGAGAAGATTGGCTATTAGCATATCCTGTACCAGTATACACAGATACTTGCGTAGGTCTGTATCCTCTAGATGAGATTTTATTACTTTTTGCCATCTTTACAAAATTAGGAACGCGAGCTCTCAATCCGCAATAATACGGATCGTCTGTTAAGGAAATTATATTAAATTAATTAGATTAATATTATTATATATTATATATTAAATTAATTTTTCAAGTTTTTTTTCAATTTTTATATTTAAATGTATAATAAATTAAAAAAGTTATCTCAAAAAACTATTTACCATATTTCTTTTTATCATCGTGTTTATTTCTCTTGTCTTCATTTGTTATTATAGATTTTCTGGCATAGTCATCTTCTATGTCATCATAATCAGGCTAAAATTAATCAAAATATGATTAAATAATATGGTTTTATAAATTACTTTAAAAAATAACTTTAAAAAATAATTTATAATATATAATCATTTTATAAATAACTTTAAAATTAAATTATTACTTTAGGTATATCATGACCATAAAGATTTTCTCTTGGTGGCAATTTTGGAGGTTTTTCAGTTCTTTTGTGTCTACTATTCGTTGATTGAATATAGATCTGATCTCGAATATCTCGATCTTGTTGAAATGATTCAGAAACTCCAATTGAAGATGAAACTCCTGCTATACTATATGGATCTTCATCAGGAATTGGTATTCTAGGTCGATTTTTAATATCCACCGGCCTTTGTAATGCTAAAACTAATTTATAAATATTATATTAAGTATGTAATAATATTAAAATATAAATATATTTTAAATATATTATATATTAGATTTTAAATAAAATTTAAAATATATTTTAGAAATATACTATATACTTACTACTATATATACTTACTTTTTATTATCCGGATATTCGGATATTCGTTATAATTGTACTTATTATACTTGTATCGAAAATATATACTTCTTAATAAATATCCGAGTCTTGTTATAACCCGTACTGAATTCAACAATATATTTTTAATAATCTTTTCAATAGATATCCGGATACCCGTTGATTCGAGCAATAATAGAAGCCCTAATTTTAATATTAATAAGATAATAATACTATTTTATTACTGTACCTGGTGGTAACTTAGATTTCAACATGTCTAAACCGACAACATTTACAATGAGAACCCAAACAGGACATTGAAGAAGATCTGATTCAGTTCTAACGAAAACAATTGCACTTAGACATTGCATTTCTAGTCTTCTCCTATCTGGATATGCTCTTCGAGTTTCTCGAGAAAGATTTGTTTGAAATTTACTCATATCAAATACCTAATAATTAATTTAAAAAAAGATTATAATAAAATAATGAAAATAATTTATCATATTTATTATTATAATGAATAATATTTGCGCAAATAAAATGAAATAAAAAAAAAACTTTTAAAAAATTGGAATAATATATGTAAATAGTAAAATACTCACTTTCCCAGGTTTTTCGTGCTCTAACGCCCCTTGAGAATTCCGTGCAATTTCTGCTCCAATTGCGTTATCTTCCTGACTGGTTGGTTTTATATAAACATTATTTTTACACAATCTTTTTATTAATATATTCCCTTGTTCGTCCATTTTGATCTTTACTCCTTGATTTATGAGTTTTTTCGCCTCTTCTGTTTTCGAATCCCTCATAGGATTTTCGAAACCGCATAAGCCTATTCTATGTTTTACAAATAATATATATAAAATTTAATCTTTTTCCTTTATAAAATATTATTATATTATTTATATTAAAAATATGAACTTCATAATTTTATTATTTAAATTTTAATAAGATAATTAAAATTTTTATTTCTTTTAATTTTTATTAATATCATTAGAATTTTTCTAGAAAAACATGTTTAGAAATATAAACGAATAATATTCATTATATCATACCTGAAACCATCGAATCCATCATTGGATCCATTGATCGTGAGAACTGGTGCCCTGGCGTATGCTTTTGCAACTCTTCGATTTCTTTCGAAAACGATTACTTTGGCCCAAATTTCATCATCGATTTGATTCCATTTATCCAATACTTCTTGAATATGATCCTGAAAAAAAATTATATATACATATATCATTATAGATAATTTCATTATATATTCATAATATCATTATATAAAATTATACACATATATCATTTTTCTAAATTTTTTTTCTCTATATTTCTCTATATAAAATATAAAATTGTCACCTTAAATATATTTAAAATCACAGAAGAAATAAATTTTTCAAAAATTATTTACTAAAAAAAAAAACTATCATATGATTGTAACAATTTTCTTTTACATGAAATCAAAAAATTTATTTTTTATTTCTATAAATGATGAAATTTATGTATTTAATAATTAAATGATAAATATTTAATAATTAAAATGATGTATCTTTATTCCAATATCATTAATCTAACATGTATCACGTTATCAAATAATTTTTATTAATCCATTCAATATTTCAACGCAGAAATTATTGTTATATGTTTACCTTGTAAAGTTTATCAAGATTATACCACACATCTTCTTCATCTTGATCCTCATATTGTGATTCAACAAGATTGTCCCTCGATCGAGATAGAATCTTCCTTCTCGATACCATTTTTCACCGAAAGATTCTCTCTATCTATTCAAAAATATTCATTTCATTTATAATTTTATATTATTTTTACTATTTTTATTTATTTAATATTTTATATTTTAATAATAATTTAATATACAATACAAATTAAACAAATGTTTTCATTTAATTCAAATAAAATTTAATAATATATGTTATATCATTTATTATACATTATAATAATTGATGAAATCATGACAAAAATTTATATTTGATTTTATATTTTTTTATTTGAATATCGGTCGATTATTGAGAAATATTGAAAAATAATTCAATTATTTTTTATATAATAAATATAAATATCGATAAAAATCGATATTTTCATTATCGCAATATCATTAACTGAATTTTAGACTCATGATACTAATTAATTATTACAAAACATAAATGATATCATTTAAATATTTTTTTTAATATATATACAATATATATTTTTTATACAAATACAATATAAATATAATTAAAAATTTATTAATTTTTATTAATTAATTTATTATTAATTAAAATTTAAAAACGCTCTAAAATTTGTATAATATTCATTATTAATTGATTAAAATAAATTATTTTTATATCTCTTAAATTATAAATTGCTATTGTACTTAATAGATTTATTTAATATATTTAAACTCTCTCTTAATTTCTATTTTACTTCTGTATTTTTAATAATAAAAATAAGCATTTTTAAAATAAAAAAAAAAAATTAAATTATAACATAAAAAAAATAATTCAAACATTAAAAACTAAAAATTTATGTAATAATTTTATTTTGTGAAAAATTATTTATTTTTTTATATGATAATGATTCTAACTCATTAATATTTGAGAAAACAGAATTTTAATCGCGATCAATTTTAATTGATGATATCTTTCACTTTCTTATAACAATGAGAAAGACAGATGAGCTATAAGTGGTTTTTCAATGTTGAAAAATTTTCTAAACTAATATTGCAGCTGGTGAAGGGGGCAATTGATACGAGTCTGGTGGCACTCAACCTTCACATTCTTCAGAGAGAAGTGAAAGCCACAAGTTTCAGGGAAATTCTATGCCGAATCAAAACCTTTTTCCCATAGTATTTAACTTCATTCAACTATATGTTATATATTAAATATAATATATATTAAATAATATAATATATATTAAAATAATAAATCATTAAAAAATTTATCATATTTATGTTACAATTTATTTTTTTTTTTTAATTTTTTTATTTCATTTCATATTTCACTAATAATAAAAAATGTATTATATTTACATTATAATTTATTTTTCTTCGAATCAAATTTTTATTAAAAATTGAAAATATTTTGAATTATAATATTTATAATAATATTTTGGAATTGATTTTATTTTTTACAATATAATTTTTATAATA